AAACTGGAAAACGAAATTCTGCCGAGCCGCTGCCTTTGAGGAAAAATGACTACTAACGTCACTGATGTACATCTGATTTGCGTGTGGATCCAACAACAACAGGGAAAGCTTATAACGTTTGCCTGTCTGTAATAGCCAATTCCCTCCTCCAGATACTGCCCACTGAATTGTTTCGGGATCGACAACATTGATGGATGTTGAAGGTGGTCTAACGCCAGTTTTCGCGTTTACGTCGACATCTACGAATTCGTAGATGAGGGACGTCAAAATAGAGCAAGAATCTCTTACTTTGGCTGAATAGGTGAATATCGGTTTGTCCACGAGACAATGCTCTAATTGTTGATGTCATTTTGTTCAGGGAACACACAGCTTCGGAGTCGACTTTCAAGTAATAGAGCGAAGATGGCATTGGAACCTCTGAAATATTAGCATAGATAAACGCAACTGCATTCAAACCATTAGCGGTCCAAGAAATCTGATGGTAAGGAGAGGCAAAAATTTCGGATTTCAGATGAAAGGGGGTCAGCCACGCCCAGCCAAAATTCTGGGATGCTCTCCAGAAATTTTTCAGTCACAAAATTGATGAAAAATCTGGAATGCTTTCCAAACTACCTTGTAACCTTGGCTTTCAGTAAAGTAGGAGAGTGCTTGTCGACAGCCATTCCCAAAAAAATTCTTTCAAGAGTTTAACTTAATTAACAGATCTGAAGAATTCTTTTAGCTAATTTGAGTCATTTTACATCTTATATAGGTTATTTTTTGAAATTTCGAGACACATTCTCGTGTTCGGACTGTTATATCGTACTTCCATATATGTATTACGGATGTATGCCTGTGGGTGGAGAAATCAACAAGGGCGGGATTTGCCATATCGAACTCATATCTCTCCACGATTTTTGGCATCGGATTTGCTGTATACTACAGCATAAGTTTAAGAAGGAATAGGTTGAAAGATAGGCTTCGGATTCTGGCAAGGTCTTACTTTGCTCGAAATCTCGAAAACGAAAGAATCACAGTTATCTAACACGCGCATGATTTCATCGAAAACCACTGAAGGTCCGGAGGTTCTCCCTATGCCTAATAATATGAAAAATCAACTCAATATAATCATAGTTGAGAGATCGGCATCAAGTTCCGGAGAACTCTCCAATTTGATATGGAGAACGATTATTGCAAGAAAAGATACAACTGAAATTTGTAAACTCACCTTCAGTGCTGCTTTGCTTAACAATCTGGACGTGAAACGGCACTACGGCATTAACGGGCAAGAAGAGGTCATGTGCTGGTTGCAGAAGCAAGTTAGCTACTACAACCAGATCCAGGCTGTCGGGATTGATGTTCTGAAGACGATTACTGATTAAAAAGGTCAAAACCCTATTTATGGGAAGAAATTCGAAAGAAACCTTATAGTGAGGTTCGCCAAATTTTGCTGTCAAAGTAGCTGACCCAGTAAGGATACCTTCCACGAGAATGATGTATCCTGGAACGTAATTTAGGGATAACTGACACGTAGCTCGGAACAAATACAAAAGTCCTATAGATCAAGTGAATGTCCCTTTCCCTTGTGGAGCTCGGAAGAAAAATATAAAAGTCCTATAGATCACAGTAAATGTCCCTTTCTGTACCCTCTCAAAAATTCGAAAGAAGACCAAAAACTTACTGACCTTTTTTCTTATTCTTCTCTAGTGCAACAATCTCAGCTGGTGCTTCATAGGTCGACTGCTCAAAAGGAACAATACGAAGCGGACGGCCCTCTCCAGAGTGGGACAACTCCCATTCGATCGGAATCTCACCCAATGTGGAAAAGGTATCACCTAATAAGCAATAGTATAGATGATATTTAAATCGAAGTTTGACAGGATACCTTCGGCGTTGAGGGCTTCAAGGTGAATGCGAGCTGGAGCAGCATCAACAAATAAGATTTTCGTAGTTGTTTTGATTCGAATTCTGGAAACTTGATCGACTGTCACACCACAGCTCAACATTGTACCGGAACCTATAGGAGGACGAGTTCAAATTCGAAAATCCACTTGCTAAAGGAAGTGGCTCGGCAAAATGGATCACTGTCAGATTTTGGTGATACTATATTGTAAACTCTCCAACAACCAGCCCAGCACCACGCAAGTTATGCGTTAGATCCTGAAAGCATGCTTCAAAGGCCCACCACCGACGCCCAAATTCGGTAAGTGGGCTGGCGGTGAAACTTTGAGCAAGATTTCAGGATTCAGTGCATGAGGAGAGTTGGACGTTGACCGAGTGTGTTAGAGTGCTTACTATCTAATACCATCAAAATTTGACAAGAATCCATTTTGTCAAGCCACAGCTTTGAAGGCAATGTCCCGGCAGAATTTCGTTGTCCAATTATCACCTTTTCGGAGCCTTATCGCCGTGAGCAACCCAAATAAGGGGTTTTCAGTGCACGAAAATGGCGAAAATGAGCTTTTTTCTGAAGCTTTTTAGACCCGCACTCAGTAGA